TATATATATATGCATGCTATGAATACATTTTTTTCCCACAAATTATCTGCTTAAGTTGTTTGTCTTGATTCAATTTTGATTATACATGTCCTCTCTTTTAAACAAAACTAGTCGACCTAATTATATTCTTATCAAATTATCCATGTTATCATTATATAATATATATACTAATTTTGAACTCCTTGGTGAACAGGACTTGGCTGTGATTGGCTGATTTTTTTGCTGGGTTTTGTTTTTTTAGTTTTTTTTTTCTATGCTTATGGAAAACTACGTGTTATCTCCTTACACAAGGCACCGCCTATTGATTATCTCAAGATGGTTTATTCCACCGCCTCAAATCCACGGCTTTAAGCTTCTTCTTGAATCTTCTTCACCCCAGAACCAGAAAACCATCCTATCCACTGCCATTGCTTCATCTATCCGTTCTTATACGCCTTCTCCCCTGAATCAGATGGTCCTGACCACCGAAGAGAGCAACGGCGGTGTCCAGTCGGAAATTTTGCCTCTAATCTTAACCTTCACTCAAAGTAGAAGGGAAATGTTTGTATGAATCGTCAAATTCTGCCTTCCCAAAAAGCCTTTCCTTCCGCTAATCGACGTTTATTTGATCTTTTCTTTTTTGTTGGTGGGTTGTTGATGTTCGAAGCAGGAAAGAGGGAAAAGAGGGTTTTTGGTTGAAGGAAATCTGGAGTGTATCCCTCCGGTTCATCTCCATCTTCTCCAAATCGTCGATTAGGGTTTCTCTCCATGGTAACAGGAAGTCTTCATCAAGAAGCGACCGTCACCACCACCGTTGCCGCCTCTACCTCATGTATCCTAACCTATTTGTCACTCACATCCGACAACACCTTCTGATTCTTCACAGTCAACGCTTCCACTACCTTGCTCCAAGTAACTGCATCTCCTACCTTCTTCTTATTTTTTTATTATCTGAAATTGATTTCGTTACAATTTTCTGAACTCTTTCCATTTAGCGTTTTTATATTCACATTTGATAAATCAACTTATCCAGTTTGCTCGGTGTCCCAGTGGCCCTTCTTCTTCAACACATGTTTATATTACATGCATGAAATCAACTAAGCTAAACACCCTTTTAATCATACATTAAGTGAGGTAAGCATTTTATAAATAATCTCATCAGTCCAACTGTATGTTGCTTGGTTTTTTATTTTTTCTTATCTCTATCATGATTTTAGCAGTATGTACTCTGTTTTTTTCAATTGTGTTGAATTAACATTTTATTTCAAACTAAAATTGACTATTATATTTCTATTTATTAGTGTTATTTATTATTGGGTTGTTTCTGTACCCTTCTGGAAAGTTTTGGACTTACAGGTTTTTTTGTTACCTAACATGCGGGTTGTGATTTGAATCCAGATAGATCATGGGTTCTTGTTTTGGATCATATATATTCAGGTCATGTAGATAGCTGTATAGTGATCGACACACAAAATATCTCAGTTTAACTTTCTTCACCGGATCAAGGGTTTCTGTGCTCATCTGTTCTTGTATATAGAAGTATTTTTGATCTTGTTCATATGATTGAGAGTAGATTAGTTGAGAGTAGATTACGATGATGTAGTGAGGTTTTTTGTGTAATTGTTGTGAAAACGAACTGATCTATTAATAATATAGATTGTTCATGTTGGGAAATTACATGTGTTAATTTGTTCATGGTATCAGAGCGAGGTTCTCTTGCATATGTTGCTCTGATCGCTCGTCTGTACATTCCGCTTTGATCATCATGATAACACAAAGGTTAATTTTCCCTTATCCATTTTTTTCATAACTGTCTGATCGTCTGGATTTTTTTTTGTTCGACACTTGTTGTGTCGATCTAAGTTTCAGCCCTAACTTCTAGATCTAACATCATCGGAGTTGATCTAGGGTTTCAGACGTTGTCCATTTTTTTCTTTCCTATTAAGATCTCGGTTACTGCGAGCTCTTGTTTTCTTTGCAGGACGTTTGCTTTGGTGCTTCTTGCTTGTGAACACAACAGTTTATCGACGTTCTTTGGGTTCCGATTAACTCTTTCTGAGAATAGAACCTAGAAGTTCTGAAATAACTCAAAAGAACGGTATCGCTTCTTCTTGTTTAACTCCTTTAGAGATCAGAACATAGTAATTCTGAAAATATCTCTAAAGAGAACAGTTCATCTCTTCATTTCATTGCGGGTACGTGTTTTTTTAAAATTTGTGGACTCTTCATTGCTGTTGTTGAAGATTCTACTCGATCACTGTAAGTCTTCAACCTTTTGTTCAGGTTGTTTCTCTGTCCTGGTTATCTGTGGTCTGGTTTGTTATTGCTCTACTGTATATTTGTCTATATTGTTGTTTTTCGAGGCCTGATTGTTGATCTTAGTTCACCATCTTATTGGCTGAATTTTCTGATCTTTGATTTAAGGTTCCTCTGTTTTTTTTTTCTATTCTTGTTGTGTTCATTGATTTACTATGACTGGGGAGATTCCTGGTGCATCAGGGACTAAGATCCCTGACACACCAGATGTTGATGATCCATTGTATATTCATAGTACAGATTCTGTAACTGGAACTATTATTACGTTTAAATTGCTTGGAACTGAAAATTTCAGAATTTGGAAAAGCTCTATGACTAGAGCTTTAAAAGCTAAAAATAAATTAGGTTTTGTTGAAGGAACTGTTAATAAAATTGATAATGATCCCATCAAGGCTCTTAAATGGGAAAGAGCCAATGCTGTCGTGTGTTCTTGGCTTCTTGGATCCATCTTTGAGAGCATTTATGCAGGACATGCTGGTTCTGAAAAGGCTGTTGACATTTGGAATGAATTAAATGAAACTTATTGTAAATCTGATGGATCTGTTATTTTTAACATTCATCAAAAAACTAACTCTTTGACTCAAAATGGCTTATCTGTGTCTGACTACTACAATAAACTTGATTCCTTATGGAAGGAATTTGATGGGTTAACCAACTTAACTGAATGTGTTTGTGCTGCCTCTACTCAATTAAATAATCATTCAAAACTTATGAATCTTATGCAGTTCTTAAGTGGTCTTGATGAATGTTACAATCAAGTAAAAAGTCATATTCTCTTAACTGATCCTTTACCTAATGTTAGAAGTGCTTTTGCTACTATATCAACAGAAGAGTCTTTTCAAAAAAATGGTTCTGTGTCTAATAATTCTGGTAAATCTCAAACCACTGCTGTTTTTAACAGTAAATTTAATGATAGTAAAAGGAATAAAGGTCCTAATCAATGTCTTCAGTGTAAACACTGTGGTATTAAAGGTCACACGATTGAAAAATGTTTTAAACTTGTTGGATATCCTAAAGATTTTAAACCTAGAAATGGGGGAAATAGACCTTTTAATAATTACAACAACAACAATTTTTCTAATCACAATGGTTCTGAGAGATCCTTCTCTGGGAACAATGTTATTTCTACTAGCACTGATGCTTGTTCTTCTAGTGTTAACAATTCTGATCTTAGATCTCTCACTCAAGAACAATTCTCCAAGCTTCTTCAGCTTATTGGTGATAAACAATCCATGGATGAAGTAACTGCCAGTGCCAATATGGCAGGTACTTCGTGTAACTCTTTTTAAAAAAAAAATTCTTTTAAGTCTGATAAGTGGATTGTTGACTCTGGAGCTAATCAACATATGACTTCCTCTGAGTCAAATTTGAATAATCTTGTGGATGTTTCTAATCTTAATCTTAGAGTTGATCACCCAAATGGGTCTACTGCCAAAATTCATAAAATTGGAAATATGAGTCTTTCAAACAAACTCACATTGTTTGATGTTTTTGTTGTTCCAGACTTCAATGTAAATTTGTTGTCTGTTCACTAGTTATGTAAGGATAGTAAATATAGAGTCATTTTTGATGAATATAACTGTATGGTGCAGGACTCACAGTCCATGGAGACTGGTAATGAGGGAGGGGGACTTTATTATCTCAATAGTGCTCCTCCAGGCAAGTCTTTTTGTAATTCTAGTGTTGTTAAATGTTTTGTGTCAAAATTAACCTGGCATAGTAGACTTGGTCATCCTTCTGATCAAGCTCTTACTTTATTAAAAGAAAAACTAAATTTTAGTAATAATTCTTTACCTCCTTGTGAGATTTGTCATAAAGCTAAACAAACTAGAGAGCCCTTTCCTGTTAGTCTTCATTCTTCAAAAGGTCTTGGAGATCTTCTTCATTTTGATGTTTGGGGTCCATATAAAACTCCTTCTGTTGGGAATTTTAATTTTTTTCTAACTATTGTTGATGATTTTACTAGAGGTACTTGGGTTTATCTTCTGAAGTCTAAAGAAGAAGTTTTCTCTTATGTGTCAAGTTTTTTGAATCTTATAGAAAATCAATTTTCTGTTAAAGTTAAAGTCATTAGATCTGATAATGGAACGGAATTTGTAAATCATAGAATGAAAAGTTTGTTTGTTTTAAAAGGGATTGTTCATCAAACTTCATGTGTTTACACTCCACAACAAAATGGTGTTGTGGAGAGGAAACACAGACATATCTTAAACATTTCTAGGTCTTTACTTTTTGAGTCTGGTCTTCCTGTTAGGTTTTGGGGAGATGCTGTTATGACTGCTGTTTTTTTTAATAAATCATATTCCTACTTCTGTTTTGAATGGTATGTCTCCTTTTGAAATGATTTGCAATCACTCTCCTAAATTTGATAATTTAAGAGTGTTTGGATGTTTATGTTTTGCAACAAAATTAAATGTTTTTGATAAGTTTTCTTCTAGGTCTGAGAAATGCATTATGATTGGTTATTCTAATGAAATAAAGGGTTATAAACTTCTCATCCTTGACACAAGTCTTGTTTTCTTTTCCATGGATGTTAAATTTTATGAGAATGTTTTTTCCTTTTAAGATGAAATCATCTCCTTCATCTTCTGATTCGCTTGTTAAAACTAGGCATCATTCTTTCTCTTTTTCGGATCCTTTTTCCAATGATGAGTCTGATTTGAATGAGTCCTTGATTAATAGCTCTAATTCATATGACTTGGGAGTGACCCAACAAACTGATGGTGCAGTTGTACCTCAATTTCCTGTTGATAGTGATATAGATACTATGCCTAAGGATACATCTGTGCCTTGGTTTGATGAGGATGTTCCCAGTACATCTGATTAGACTGAGGAAAATAGACAAAACAATCCCACTCCTAATTTTTCTACTCATTCCTCTAGACCTTTGAGAACTCCTAAAATGCCAACTAAGTTCAATGATTATGTTGTTGAAGGTAAATACAAGTATGGAGTTGAAAAATCTGTTAACTATTCTAATCTTGATAGTGAAACAAAATGTTTTGTTTCTAACTTGAATAAAACTCTTGAACCTCAAACTTATAGTGAAGCTTGTAATGATCCTAATTGGATCAAAGCAATGAATGAGGAAATGGAGGCTTTATACAGAAATAACACTTGGGATATAACTGATTTGCCTAAAGATAGGAAACCTATTGGTTGTAGGTGGATATATAAAATTAAATACAAGTCAAATGGTGAAATTGATAGGTATAAAGCAAGACTTGTAGCTAAGGGCTATAATCAAAGAGAAGGTCTTGACTATTCTGAGACCTTTTCTCCTGTAGCAAAACTGGTTACGGTTAGAATTGTTATCTCTTTAGCTATTAATAAGAATTTGAATTTGTTTCAGCTTGACATAAACAATGCTTTTTTGTATGGTAGCTTGGATGAAGATGTTTACATGACACTTCCTCAAGGCTATCATACAAAGGGGGACAGTCGTGTGTGTAAACTTAAAAGGTCTTTATATGGTTTGAAATAGGCTCCAGCGTAAGTGGAATGAAAAATTATGTAGTTCTTTAGCTGATTTTGGTTTTTCTCAAAGCATAAATGACTTCTCTTTATTTATTAGAAATAAAAATGGGTATGTTGTTGTTCTCTTAGTCTATGTTGATGATATAATAATCACAGGTGATAGTATAACTGAAATTAAAAATGTTAAGTCTTTTTTGAAGTCTCTTTTCTTAATAAAGGATTTGGGAAAATTAAAATATTTTCTTGGAATAGAAGTTATAAATACAAACTCTGGTGTGTGTCTTACACAAAGAAAATATTGTCTTGAGCTCCTTCATGAGTTTGGTCTTCTTGGTTGCAAACCTGTGAAAATTCCTTTAGATTCTTATTCTAAGATTGATAAAAATGGAATTGATAGTTCTGATAGTCTGTTAACTAACATTACTGAATTTCAAAAACTGATAGGAAAATTGATTTATTTGATAATTACCAGGCCTGACATTTCCTATACAGTACATACTTTAAGTCAATTTATGTACAGTCCTAGGAAATCTCACCTGGAAATTGCTATTAGACTTTTGAGATATCTTAAAATGAATCCTGGAAAAGGTGTTAGTATTGTAAAATCTAATTCTTATTCAATTACTGATTTTGTGGATGCTAACTGGGCAAAATGCTTGTCATCGAGAAAGTCTGTAACAGGGTATTGTATTTTTCTTGGTAGTTCTCTGATTTCTTGGAGAAGCAAGAAGCAAAATACCGTATCTGGATCCTCAACAGAATCTGAATATAGAGCTTTAGGTTCTATAACATGTGAAATTATTTGGATTGTTAAAATTCTTGTTGACCGTGGTTTAAAGTATCTTAATGTTTCTAATATTCACTGTGATAATGATTCAGCTATTAAGCTGGCTCAAAATCTTGTGTTTCATGAGCGAACAAAACATTTTGAAGTTGATGTTCATTTTATTCGTGAAAAAATTTCAAA